CTGGTCACAGTCCTACCTGGTCCTGGTCACAGTCCTACCTGATCCTGGTCTGGTTGAGGGCCTCCATGCTGGCGTGCCGGTCGTCCACCTCTCTGACCAGCTGCAGGTTCCTCTGGTCGGCCAGCTCCAGGTCGGCCTTCACCTTGTCTCGCTCCCTGCAGGCCTGATCAGCCGCCTCCCTGAACACACAGTCAGATGAAGAAAAGCGTCAAAAATGACGCCAAATTACCCCAAAATTTCCAAAATAATTGAACAAACATTTATGAGTTTCCTGTGACACCTACTGCAGGTGCTGGACCTCGTTCTTGTAGGAGATGAGCGCCGCCTGGTGGATGCCGTTGCCGCTGACCAGCAGCTCGTTGTCCAGAGCCAGAGTCAGATCGGTCAGACTGAGACGCTCCTCCAGAGGAAAGTCCAGCGTCTGCAGGCAGAACACACACCTGCATTGATTCTCTTCAGCTCACGTCTATCCTGATGATAGCAACAGGTGAGAAACACCTGCAGCACACGCTGATTCTATGATCTGTTGAACACGAGATCACTTCTGGCTCTGGACTGAAGAAAATGACCGTATTACTACAATTAGTGCCTTAAATTCTCATTCATTGGTCTTTGTGGAAATACAGGACACTGACAACAGTTTTAATAATTCACACTTAATGTTTTTGCTCGGATAGGATGAGAGCGTCCTCTGCATCACCGTCTGTTCAAAATGACTCAGCATCTATCCAACGTGTGTCTACAGTTACTCAAAGCTTTTCTAATATGATGGAAAATATTACTCAGATTATGCCTAAAATGACTAAAATCTGCTTAAAATGACTGGAAATGTGTCCATAACGTCGATAGAATACTCAGTGAAAACATCTTGAGAAGGACTCAGTGTGTCTAAAGCAGGAAATGAATCTGTCCACACAGCAGGGGGCGCTGCAGGGCGACCTGGAGACCTGACAGTAATCACCATAATCAGTCTGTCGGGATTTAATTAAGGACCGGAGACTCAGCAGAACACATCAGGTCGGTCCGTATCGTGTGAAGCAGGAATGTGGCAGCAACATGAAGCAGAGGTTCTGAGGAGGAATGAGGAGGAGCAGCTCTGGTTTGGGAAAAGCCTCAGAGAAAACCACAGCCGGCTGATGACGGAGGTTTGGCTGCTCGCACAGAAGGAGGCTTGTCGTGTAAAACTCTAAATTATGGTGCATCCAAGAAAAGACCAGAAACAGAGAACAAAGAGGATCGAAGGTCAGAAATCTGCTTCATGTTGTGAGAAGCGTCCAGCGAGAGCCTCAGCCAGCCTCTGAGCAGCAGCAGGTCCACGGACCGGACGGACGACACCGAGCTGCTCCGTGAAACATCACTGACAGCAAACAGACTTTTTCCACAATGAAAAAGAAGCAAAAGCTAAAAAGCCAAGCAAAAGCATTTCAGAATTCAGAGGAAAATGTGAACCTCAGACTGCTGATGGATGTAAAGACCTGTTGTCTTCGAAGCAACGTCCAGAAATCTGCATCACTTCGTTCCACGTTTAACAAAGAAATCTGCTGAAAACAAACTGACTGGTCCAAACAGATTCTGCAAAAAAATAAATTCTGAGCTGTTCGGTGAAAGCCTGCCTGAGCTGTGAGCAGCAGCAACGTGACAACATTCAGTCTTCAGCTAAACTGCAGGCAGTGTGTCTACAGAAACGAGACCAGGACGGAACATCTACAGCTCCTGGAGCCTCCACTGGTGGTTCTCTAACCTTCACTTCATGTTTATCTTTCTGGTCTCATGGTTCCGAGTCCTGCTGACAGAGGACGTCTGAGTTCTGTCTCCTCCTTCATGTGGTTCTGGTTCCTCAGAGCTGTAGGACTTTAGTGAAACATGAACCTCAGTGAAGGAAGACGAGACAGGAGCTGCTCAGAGCTCAGAGAACTCAGCTGTTCTTTAAAGAAGCTTTTAGTTTCAGGGCAGGAACGGGTACGACTCTTAGGGTTAGCGTTACCATCAGGGTTTATGGGATGCGTATGAAGCATCCTGCAGTGTTAGGGTTAGCGTCAGGGTTAGCGTCAGGGTTTATGGGATGCGTATGAAGCCTCCTGCAGCGTCAGGGTTAGCGTCAGGGTTTATGGGATGCGTATGAAGCCTCTTGCAGCGTCAGGGTTAGCGTNGTATATTTACACACAGTCCTAAGTATAAGTACAAGTTGATAAATTCCACACTTTGCGTAGGAATGTTGGTACACACTGATGATAAATGAGGCCCCTGCACACCAGACTGACTCTGGCTGATCACATGAGAGCTCATTCAGTCAGAGCAGCCAATCAGCTCTCAGCTCCCAGTGGACGGAAACCAAGAGAGGTGGTGCCCCCTATTGTCAGAAACACATCACTGCACACTAACTAACACTGTCTTGACTCAAGTTGTGTAGCTGTTGTGTTACCAGAGTCAGAGTGCTGCTGTCTCCAGCTCAGCGTTGTGTCGTCGTCTCCTGCAGACCTTCGGTTCTTCCTCTGACTCTTCAGCAGCTCCAGCTCTGAGCTCAGCTCATCGTTTCTGTCCTGCAGCTCCTGAACGCAGCACAGACACACACTGTAACGACAAACACACAATCCTACGTGCAGACACACTGCAGGTCTCTGAGGACCAGCTGCTGATGTTGAACAGCGACATCAGCGACACACAGTCAGGTGACCACAGCTGCAGGTATCAGCTGAGGACACCTGAGTTTCAGCTGCGCTCACCTTGATCTTGTGTCCGAGCAGCATGAGGCATTCAGGTGCACAAACACAGACAGATATTACAACCTGCTCCACCTACACACACCTGAGGATGGCAGCTGTTGGTGCCACTCAGCAGACATGAAACCAACAGAACCTCCTGGTACAGCGCCGTGGCTCACTGACTGGAGCCTCGTGTCTGCTGCCCTGCTTCTATAAGCTTTACTAAACAAACCAGATGAACTGTGAGAGAGCAGCTGCTGTCTGAAGAAGATCACGGACGTACAGACAGCTGTCAGTGCTCACTGGTTCTGATCCAATCAGACAGATTCTGAATGGAGTTCTGAATGTCTGGAGGTTCTGGTGAATCACAGATGATGGTGTGATGAACAGCTCATCGCTCACCCTGCACTGCAGCTCGTACTCTTTGACGATCTCGGAGAACCGCTCCTCATGGCTCTGACCGGTGCCGGCCGGGTCCAAGCTGCCAAACTGTCAATCAAACAAAACTGCTGTTAATCAATGGATGGATGGATGGATGGACAGAAGCTGCAGCTGGTCTGAAGTGGACGCTGGTCGACAGCAGAACAGGAAAGACCAAGAAGTCAGAGAGGAAGGCCGTGAATCATTGATGAGCTCCGAGGAGGAGGAACGAGCCGACAGATCACATGACACACACACACACACACACACACACACACACAC